TAACTATAAGAAAGTTAATATTGGTCATAACCTAAATAAAATCATTTTAAACTAAAAATTAATACCTAAAAACGACTACAAAAAATAAGAAACTAGCTTAAGCATCTCATTTTAATTGACAGTTTCTTATAGCTTGAACAAAAGGAACAAAAAGAATAAAGCAAACAAAAACCATACTTAATATTATGTGCTCAGCCAAATCTCCTCATATGCTCCTGAGATGTTTATTGTGTAATGAAACATAACAATTTGAACTATTTAGATGTACAGTTTACATGTTTAATATTTATAATCTTCCTACCATAAAGTTTCACGAAAGTTTAGCTTCAAAATTTAAATGTACCTCAAACAAAAAATATATAAACTACCAGCTACAAGACATGAAAATAACTGGTACTTAATAATTGATTCTATATCTCCGTGATTAATTACAATTCAAAATTTTATATGTATGAGTAGAAACATTAATTCTCAAAGAAACTACCAGTAATAAATGCTATGTAAATTTTGTACTTAAATTAGCTATAGAAAAAGTCAAACATAACAAAGCAAATGTACATATTTATTGATGTTATCCCTGGAAAATATACTATTCTCCAAATATTATAAAAACTTTTGTTCAAATAATCAATTCACAAGTCCTTTGCAATTCAATATATTATGAAATGATGTTCTCTGTGAATTTATCTTTAATCAATTTTTTTTCAATGCTATGTTTTTAAACTGTATACATTTTGAAAACAAAAAAAATATTTTACTTAATCAGAGCTATAACTGCATACAGTCTATATTAGCCCATGTCCAAAATTTCTAATTCTAATTAGGCCTATATTAGAATATTTGAACAAGAGATTGTTTTCTCACTCTGATTATACTGAATGGAATATGAATTAAGAACCTACGTATACTCTTTTTTTTCAAAATAATTTTATTGAATATATTAACATACAGTAATAATTTCACAAGTTCCAAATTTCCAGTATATAATTTCTAAAGATTTTACTAACATGTTATGTTAATGATAGAAAACCTAAAAGTATGAGATACTATGTACAACTAAAAACTAATAACTGATGAACCCACTTCACTGTTTCAAGGCTTTAACTTCAAGTCAATATGCCTAAAAACATTAATTTTAACCAACCTTTTAAATTTCACATTCTAAGACTTGTAACATTGTATCAATTTAATTCTAACTTATTATTTTGCAGTAAGATCTTCTACCGTTGTAATGATTATAATTCATACCCCTGTAATACACACTGATTTGATGACAAGGATCCCACTTTTAGAAAATATAGTTTGAAGATCGCTTTGAATGGGCAAGGAATGCATGCTGGTGCACATCTTATTATGAGACAAGCTAGTAAAAAAGCACATAGAAATGGAAATCACAGACAGACATGCTTTTTTATTATTACTAGCATATAGCCCATCAAAAATGTAGTATATCAGTTAGATTAACAACTTCTAATATGTACAGAAAATGGCTTTTATATCATGTTGCTTAGCAACAAAAGTATAAACTAATATTGTTGTTAGTCTTTGTAGTGACAGTATAAAATGAAATGTATAAACAACAAAACTGGAATAATATTTGTTGATTTCTTAATTTAGAGTCTCTATTGATTAAAGAGGTTTGTTTTTATTAAAAACATTGGTGTTATAACAGAAAATAACTTAATTCAGAAACGATTTAAGTTTAAAATTGAAATGATAAATTTTATGCACTTGTATGTGATGATGACAAAAGCTTGTCAATGCATTGTAGATTTGTTACTTGTAATGAAGTTTAACATTACATAACATTTATGGAAAACACGGGACCTATTGGTCCATCTTGACCATTCCATCCTCTAAACTAAACTAAAACTATTAATATATAAATTTCAAAAATCTTAAAGCCAGCCTTTATCATTCACATACTTATTGAGCTTTTTCTTAAACTCACTTACATTTACTGCCTCCACAACCTCTGAAGGCAACCCATTCCACAGACCAACAAGCCTGTTAGAAAAATAAAACTGTCTTAGCTGAAGATGACTCTTACCCTGCCAAAATTTATATTTGTGTCCACTAGTCCTACTATTCTCACTGTTGAATATAAAAAAAAGATGATGCATCAACACTATCAATACCCTTTACAATCTTAAACACCTCAATCAGATTCCTACTAATTCTTCTTTTTCAAGAGAAAACAATTTAAGAGATTTCAGCCTCTCCTCAAAAGACAACTCCTCCATTCTAGGCACCATTCTAGTAACCCTTCTCTGATCCCTTTCCAGCAATTAAATGTCTTTCCTTAGGTAAGGAGCCCAAGACTGAACATAGTATTCCAAATGTGGCCCAACCAGTGACCTGTGCAATGAAATTATAGCCTCTTTAGACTTGTATTCAATATTTCTGTAGATACAACCTAAAACCCTATTTGCCCTCAACAGCAGTTGCAAGAAAACCTGCAACAGTGGCAGCTCCAACAGCAAAATAAACAAGAGAGATTACAGCAGTTGTTGGAGGAAAAAGAAAAGAAACAAGAAGAACGAGAAATTAAACAAGAATAGAGATTACAGCAGTTGTTGAAGGAAAAAGAAAAGAAACAAGAAGAAAGACAACAGCAGTTACAAGAAAACCTACGACAATGGCAGCTCGAACAACAAAGTAAACAATAGAGACTACAGCAGTGGTTGGAGGAGAAAGAAAATAAACAAGAAGAGAGATTACAGCAGTTGTTGGAGGAGAAAGAAAATAAACAAGAAGAGAGATTACAGCAGTTGTTGGAGGAGAAAGAAAATAAACAAGAAGAGAGATTACAGCAGTTGTAGGATGGAAAAAGAAAAGAAACAAGAAGACAAATTACAGCAATGGCAACTGGAACAAGAAAGGAAAGACGAAGAAAGTCAACAGCATCTACAGGAAAATCAACAACAATGGCAAGAGGTACAA